ATTTATAAAATGATTATACAATGCTAATTCTAAATTAACAAGATTTCTTTTTTATCTTGAGGTACAAAATGTTACATGAAATTATGAAGTCTTTTAATATTACATAAAATATATTATAAGCTGATAAAATTATATAATTATGTGTTTATAATGTTAAAACACACATTTTTATTTTTTACATTTATAAAATGATTATACAATGCTAATTCTAAATTAACAAGATTTCTTTTTTATCTTGAGGTACAAAATTTTACATATTTTTATTAAAGTTTTCTGTTTTCTTCTTTTTTTTTTTTTTAAATATTATTTTTTATGAATACAAACTATTTACAATTTATTTAACTATTATTGCATTTTAGGTCCTATTTTCTGTACTGAAGTATTCTTGCGTAGCTATTGCAATTTTGTGCGAAGGTGATTTCTTTTTTTTAATGTTTTTCTTATCCTGGAAGTTTTCTTTAGACCAAGTTTGATTTTTCTTCTTGAGTTTTTGATTGTTTTTAATGGTCTGGTGTCCATATGAATAATTTGTATGCCAGTGGGAGTGGAAGGTCTTAGTGGTGGAGGATTTGTAAACTGATTGGCATCATAGTTATAATGCAATATGTTATTTAATATTGCCTTTTCATGTTCTTTCCTGATACCTGCCATTAATTTTTGATTCGGCATGGGTGGCTGACCACTAGAAATTCTGTCTGCTATAGCTAAAATCCATGGTCCACAATCATATTCATTTTCCTGGTTTGTGGTCTCTCCTCTGAAGAGAAACCACGGTGATGAAGTTCCATACTTGGTACGTTCATGTTCACATAAAAAGTACTGTAATATTTTAACTTCCTTACCATTGTGACAGTCTAAGCTGTCATAGACAATAATTTCCTTCTGGCTCACATCTACAATAGCAATGATCCAATGATTGTTATTGATATTTAATGGTGCCATCAATAAATTTCTGNATCAATGATCCAATGATTGTTATTGATATTTAATGGTGCCATCAATAAATTTCTGGAAAATATGTCATGCTTGAACTTGGCATTGATAATATCTATGCCTCTCCGTTCAATACTTGGAATAAAGAAGGAATCAAAGGCATAAATATTACCCTCGCTCCTTTTAACAATAAGGTTCATAAACTTATTGATGGTTTCATCGTTGTATAATGATTCTCTGGTATTGAAAGACATTATTGCACCTGAAGAAGTTAATTTAAGTAATATAGTAAATATTCATAAATTTAATTAATTTTAGTTTTGATTGTTGAATTTTGAATGCATAATTCTTGAGGTAGTCGTTTATACAATATTAAAATATTTACATGAGTGTGAAATCTTTACAATATATATATATTCTATGCTAATATTTATAATTGTTATTATATACATTGTTTCCCTTTTTTTTTACTGACTTATAGCTAATAATACTTACAACCTAAAGGTTTAAATTAATTATTGAGTAGTTAAGCTAAAATATAAAGGTTAAAATTTAAAATTATTTATTTATTTATTATGAATGATAAAAGTATAAAATGATTATTGACAAATAAAAATTATAAGTTTCACTTAGTTAAGTGATAAATAGAGTAAAGTTAGTATAGCTTATAAAAATTGATAGTAATTTGATACTTTAAAGTAAAATTTATAAAATATATTATATTTTGTATTAGTTTAGTTATAGTTAATGTGAATGTTAAATCTATATCTTGAATCTTAAGTATTTAAGTTTTATAAAATAAATATATACATTTTTTATATAAAATCATTTTTATGAATGATTTAAAATATTTTAATAAAGCAAATGTTAATAATGCGAAACTTAAAGGTTCCTGTTTTGTTATTATAAATTTCTCTATGCTAAAGGTTAATACTAAAAATAATGATTAAATTTTAAATCTGGTATATATTTTTTTGTTCTTTTGTAATTTTATGTTTTTATTTTATTTTAATACATTAAAAATGTATGAAAATAAGATTGAAATCTTTTCTGTTTTTTTTTTTTTTTACTTAAAGTTATGATTTGTAATTTAAATATATTTTACTGTCATTCTAAGGTTAATACTAACGCAAAAGTTAATTGATAAGGTAAAACAACATGTACTTAAAGTATGGTTTTAATTTTTTTTTTTTTAATGTAAAATTTAATTGATAAGATAAAATAGCATGCAGTTAAATTATAGTTATAATAATTTCTAATGTAAAATTTAATTGATAAGATAAAATAGCATGCAGTTAAATTATAGTTATAATAATTCCTAATGTAAAATTTAATTAATAAGATAAAATAGCATGCAGTTAAATTAGTTATAATAATTTCTAATGTAAAATTTAATTGATAAGATAAAATAGCATGCAGTATAGTTATAATAATTTGTATGTAAGTATGACGTAACAAATGAATTACACTTTTTAGTTTAATATATATTTTTTTTTATTTATATATATATAATTTTTTTTATTTTTAAAATTTTTTTTTTTTTTAAACAATTTTATAGTTATAAATTTAAAATTCGGAATTAATAATATTAATAAATTGCTCGTATCCTATAGTACGTGATACGTACTTTAATATGCATTCGACTATTTGCACATCATATCTAGGATCGTGTGCTAATCCATTATGTTTTTCTGTACATACAAGATTGTGTACCTCTCCTAAGTTAAGTAGATTGCCATTTTTTTTTATGGGAGGAAGTGGAATTTTTATTATTATTTTTTCATTAAAATTTAGTATACATAAAAAAAATCTAAGCTTATTTTTTGAAATTGTTTGCCCAGGATGTTTAATCCATTTATTTTTGTGTTAATAATTATACTACGTAACACATTTTTCAAAAGTGTCATCCTTGATAGTGATCAATGCGTTAATAATTTCATCCCACGAATTATATAATGCTCGACATGCGTCTGCGCGAGCCGACCACCTGGTGTTTGATAAACTCTTAATTGTATTAGCATTACGTTTCATATTTAATTGCAAAATTGACCATCTCTGCGTTGATGCGGAAAAAAAATTATATAATTGTTGTATAAATCCAAAAAAAATTGATGCTTGTGGACAACTTTCTGCAGAAGATATGCCAACCAAATTTAACGAGTGAGCGCTACACGGTACGTAATAAACTAGTGGATTAATTTCTTTGATTCGAGCCTGAACTCCACTGTATTGACCTGACATATTACTAGCATTATCGTAGCTTTGCCCTCGACAGTCAGAAATGTCAATATCATGAGATTTTAAAGTATTAATAATGACATTAGTTAAATCTAAAGCTTTATGTCCTGGATTTGAAACAAAACATAAGAATCGTTCTACAGGAAGACCAGTTGCGAGGACATATCTCACCATAAATGATAATTTGTCGACGTGCGAAATATCTGGCGTCGAATCAATACTTATGGAAAAATATTTTGATATTTTTAATTCTCTAACAATATTATATTTTAATTTTTTCATCATTAACAAAATAAATTCGTCACATATAACGTGAGATAAATATGACGTAGAGCCACTGCCTTTACTTCCAAAACGAACTATATGATCGGCTAAAAACGGATCAAATTTTGCGATTAATTCGAGTGACATTAAGTAATTACCGTTGTGTACAGAACCAAAACACGAATCATGTCCTCGAAAAGGAAGACCACGAGAAGCTAACGATTTAATAGTTTCGACTACCCTTTTCAACACATTTCTCCAATATTCGATTTCTGTGTCTAATTGTTTAATCAATGAATTATCAATGCGCCCCAAGACATTACCTCTATGTTTTAAATTCATAATAGCATCTCGGTGCTCTTTACTATTTTCATGGTAGCTGAAACGGACAGTAGCATTTTTCCAATCATTGAACCCTTCAGTAACAAGTTGAGTTTCTAAAGATGTTTGAAATATCCGACAAGGCCCACAAAAAACTACTCTTAACTTGGAGAATAAACTAACCATGAACGAACAATTGTTTCTCCATTAATTAATCGTCTATTAAACATAATTTTGGTCAAATATCTTGTTTTATCAGAATATATCCGTTTCGAGTTAATAAAGTCATTTGTCATATTTTGATTAAAACCATTTTTTGCAATATAGTCACGAAATTCGTCGTTAATAACCCATTTAGCTGGGTCTATCTCCAAAATGGTTTCATTTACTATCATATTAGTCAACTCATTTGACTCACAACTACCTTCTGGTTCAACATTATCCACTTCAATAGATTCACTAATTATTGTTGTTTCACTGTCACTAACCTGAAAATCTGTTTTCTTCATATTAATATCCATAATGTTACTACTATTACTACTACAAACACCAGAAGTAGAAGCTGGATTTTTAAAAAAATCAGTCAATTTTTGTGTTTTATTTAAAACATTTTGCAGTTTTTCACTTTTTAATTTGGCAATTTTTTTGTATTGGTCACCATTTAACCGTTTTCTATTCGAACTCATGCTCACAAAATAAAAAGACTATTTTCGAAAAAAACGACGACACAGCTGCAGCGGTACGCACTCAGCACTTTGCAGCACGGTCAGAACGCACAGGCGACAGTACGATAGACCACAGACTGAAATCACTTCTCATTTCTCAAGTAATAAGATAAAAGATCGGTCAAGAAATTTTTCGTAGAACCACTGCACTGAATGTTGATATTATTAGATTGTTAATATGTACTGTAGATAACTCACTGACCATTTTTTTGACGGCGACGGCGTGAATATTTCCGGTAGACAGCGATAAGAAACTTTAAAAATAAATAAATTCGAAATTTATTTGGAACCAATGTCATTGTTTTCAATACTTTAAGATACTTTTGTTGGCTGAATAAAAATAAGTTTCACCGAGTTAATATGCATGGCCATCATTATTGAAAAAAAAAATCCCATGAAAAATTTGCCGCCCCTTAGAATTTGCCGCTGTAGGCACGTGCCTATAGTGCCTGCATATAAATACGCCACTGNAACCATGTCGTTTAGATTAGGCATGGGGTACGCGTCCGAAACGGTTACTTCGTTTAGTCGTCGGTAATCTATACATAAACGAAAAGTCCCGTCCTTCTTCTTGGCCAGCACTATCGGTGCTGACCACGGCGATACACTCGGTTCTATTAGCCCTTGGTACCAGTTTTTTTGAAAGAACATGTTGAACACATGTGTAATTCTATTTGGTTTTATTTTATTTTTCTACTATAAGAAAATTATTATTCAGAGACAAGATGCCGATAAGTCAGTCTTATACTAAATAACAATATTCTTATCAAAAAAAATTTACACAACCCCATAAAACCTTAAACCGACTTGTATATTTTTTTATATAAGCAGGGCTCAGGATTTTATGAATTTATAAAGTTCATTTTAATAACCCTGAGTCTTTTATTATTAATAGATATTCATGTAAGAGTTTTTCTTAACACTAAACTGTGTATAATAATTAGAAAATTAGTTTTGGGGGACATAGAAGGATTATTTCACTCTAGGCAAAAGATATTGCTGAGGTGCTTTATAAACTAATTTTTCACAGAGTTGGGTGTCTCAGAAGTGGTTTAAACAATTTTATAAATGCACAGTCCCGAGCACTTTAATAAGTATCAAAGTAAATAGTATAAGTTTTTATTTAATTTAAATATTTATCTCATAAAAATAAAGTATAGCTTAATTTTCAGAATTAATAACTTAAATAAGTTACTACTTCTTTGTTTAAAAGCCATCAAAAGGTTACAGCATTAATTTTAAATAAAAATACTACTATCTTCAATTTATTCCATTCAAATAATAATTAATATCCCTCATTGTATAAAACTATTAACTTACTCAATTCAGTATCCACAAAATAATATTAGCTATCGCGCCCTTATAAGATAATCAGGTTTCTTAATCTAAAATCAATTGCCTAATTGTTTAGCTACTTAATTTTTTTTATAAAAAAAAAAAAAAAAAAAACAATATAAGTAAAAGTAATAATTATAACATGTTACGAGTATAAAAAAGGAATAAATAATAATTTTGATAAAACATTATATTTAGTAACTTGATAATGGCTATTAGCATAACCAAGATATAACTATTTTTTAATTCTTTACATTGTAGGTTAAGTGTTGTTTTGTTTTATAGCAATATTATAGAATAAATAATAAATTTAAATAACATGTATTTTTAATTAATACTTTGTTTAAATAAAAAAATTATAATAATACTGGAAGACTACAAAAAAAAAAAAACAGCCGATTCTGCAGATAAGTTTGATTAAGTTAGTAATAACAGCAGTATAAGAATGAAAAATTATTATGATCAAATATTGAAATATAAAAAAGCTAACAGATTATAAAGAAATAAAGTGACCATTTCCCTTGAAACAATGACAAATAAAAAAAAGAATTTGAATAATAAATATGTAAAGAATTAAAGTAAATTTTTTTAATTTATTATTATTTGTGTTGAAATAGTATTTAGTTTTATGAAAATGTTAGTAAATTTAAGTTTTTTTAGATGAAACAGTGTTGATTTAACATCAAATTAATATAATGTTTAAAAAAATAGAATGATCAATACTAAAATTTAAACTAGGCTCTAAAAAAAGTAGTTAAATTTATTATAAGAAATAGCTTTACAGTAAATGAAATTACAATATTATATATTAATAAAATTAGACTACTTCTATTAAAATATAAGAGCACAAAAACTCAAAAAAAAAAAATTCAAAACTATGTATATTTAATATACTCAGTTTTGAATATATAAATAAATATAGTTTAAAAAAACTAAAAAACACGCTTTTAAAGAACATCGAACTAAAAAGTTCAAAATAATTTTTAAAATAAGCGTAAAACAATAATGAACGAAAAGTACTAGTATTATTGTGATAAAAGCGTGGGTGCTTTGTGCTATATTTTTCGTATATTCAGCGCCCGACGCTTTTTAGTTACATGTTATGATAGTAGTTACTATCAATATCATGGTTGTAACGGGTAAAGGGGAATCAGGGTTCGATTCCGGAGTGGGAGTCTGAGAAACGGCTACCACATCCAAGGAAAGCAGCAGGCGCGCAACGTGGAGGTAGTGACGTAAAATGACGATGCGGGAATCATCCTTTGTAATCGGAATAAATACCCTATATATCTCTTAATGAGAATAAAGCGTATTAATATATAAGTTTTAATAGTAATTAGAATATATANTCTGCAGATAAGTTTGATTAAGTTAGTAATAACAGCAGTATAAGAATGAAAAATTATTATGATCAAATATTGAAATATAAAAAAGCTAACAGATTGTAAAGAAATAAAGTGACCATTTCCCTTGAAACAATGACAAATTAAAAAAATAATTTGAATAATAAATATGTAAAGAATTAAAGTAAATTTTTTTAATTTATTATTATTTGTGTTGAAATAGTATTTAGTTTTATTAAAATGTTAGTAAATTTAAGTTTTTTAAATAAACAGTGTTGATTTAACATCAAATTAACATAATGTTTAAAAAAATAGAATGATCAATACTAAAATTTAAACTAGGCTCTAAAATGTAGTTACATTTATTATAAGAAATAGCTTTACAGTAAATGAAATTACAATACTACATATTAATAAAATTAGACTACTTCTATTAAAATATAAGAGCACAAAAACTCAAAAAAAAAATGTCAAAACTAAGTATATTTAATATACTCAGTTTTGAATATTTAAATAAATAATATCTTCATGTAAATAAAACTATAATTTAATAAGGCCTCATAAATTACTGAAAAAAAATATTATTTAAATATTAGGAATAAGAATTGAATAAATAAAAATTACTAAAAAAATACAGTGAGATAAGTAAATGTTAGGACATGGTTAATAAAAAATAATTTGCCTTTTGATTTGCTAGCATGTTACAGTCCTTTAAGGACAAATTGATCACTAATTCAAACAACATGCTAATAGTGTTGACTATTCTCAAAGTTCTGTAAGATAATGGCAATTTGAGAGGAAAATAATTTTTTCTAGTTGATGTCCAATTATATACTTGACTCATTGTATATATATATATATAATATAGTTGGAATTCATTAGTAACATAAAATTAACAAATAAATATCTTTAATTTAACAGTAAATTTAAGTATAAAATGTTAAAAGCTTAAAAATAAATGAAAATTATTTATAATATATTGTTAGAACAACAAATTAGGTAATTTCTGCAAATTAAATTTAAAAGTGTGAACAGAATTTGTAAAACTTATTTTAGAAAAAAATAATATAACATCATAGAAATAATAAATTAAATATGTTTAAAATTAAAAATAATTATAAAAATTATTATTATTATTATTTATACTATTGTTTAAAATTATATAAGAAAAATTAACGATAAAACACTTTATAAAATTTAAACACAAAATAATACTTATAACTTATTAGTGAGTGATGATAATAAATTCATATGAGAAAAATCTTAAAACATACAATATTATAAAATGTAAGTATGTACTTACTAAACGATAAGTATAGTTTTATCAAAATAATGTATCATTGTAATTTATATACTCATAGTTAAAATAATTGTAAATATATAAAAATTTGATATGAAAAGATATTTCAACAATTTTAATATTAATTTATTTTTTACTTGTTCTATTATATAATAAGATAATTGAATATGGTCATTTTCTAGTAGATTGTGCAATTTTCAGCCTATAATAGAAATAATTTAATTAATAATATTGATATAATTCATATATGTTTAAATAGTTACTGAGTACTCACTATACAACATTGCAGGTTTACATAAGGCATTAGATATTTCATTAATATTCTAACAGACATGTATGCTTAACTCTTTGTTGAATGTCACTTATTTCCTACATACAAAAATTTGTATGTATTAATATTTGTATTAACTACTAGCAGTGGGAAAATGTTAAATCAGTTAAAACCTATAGACATAAAAAATGGTAGTTTAAAATAGATTAGTACATCTTGGACATAAAAAAAAAGCTTTACCTTGAATTTTTCTGTTAGTGTAACTATTCTTATAGGCACTACAATATAAGGTCTCACCATCTCAATTAGATGTTTACAAAAATTAGGTAAACAACACATTCTAACACAATGATCAGTCAAAACTGAAAAAATAAATTTTAGATTGTAATTAAATTCAGTAAATATTGATTAAATTTTCTAAATACAAAATTAATCAGTATTTAAAAGTGATCTTGTATTTAAACATAATTTTTTTTTCTACACAAATATTTTATGGTTGCAAGTTTTTAATTAAAAAAAAAAAACTTAATCATAAAATAAAATTATATATTTGTTAACCATTGATTTGAACTTTTTACTATAATAAGAAAATTTTTATTTAGTGATGTTATACCACTCAATCAATAATATATTGAAAATTTGTTTTTAACTGATAATATTTCAATCAAAAGAAAATTTACACAATTCTCTCAAATTTAATACCGATTCGAGCTTTTTAATATGACTATTCGGATAAATAATATAATATAGTTTTTTTTTTAATTCAAATTAAATAAAACTCAACTTAGTGTATAATAAGCGTTATCAATTTTTTTCTTCAATTAGTTTAAAAAAGTTTTATGTTTCTTGTAAGTTTAGTTAAACGAATTTCTATTGATGTTAAAACAATAACTTTCTATATTTTTTTGCAAGTACCAAAATAAAATTTGCTAATCATAACTAATTTTAATTATTAATAAATGATTGCTTACTTTATAAAAGATTAATGGCTTGACTTTCATTCCTCAATCTATATGGATCTCTTCCATAACTTTAATAACAATAAATTTAGAACATAATTCATCTTCGTCCATGTTTAGAGTAAACACTAGATCTAATTTACTATGTTTATAATCCTCGTGCTGATGGCTGGAACACCATTATGTCTGTGAATTTAGCACCCGAAATTAACTGATAAGTAATCATTGATAAGAATTTAGTAACCATATTGGTTAATTATGAACATTAGGATGCAGCACCCGCTATTATCAAGGGGTTTTTTATTTAATAATTATTAAATAAAATTATAATTTAGAATTAAAAGTAATTGATAGAAATCACTATATTACTCTATGATTTATTTTGTATTTGGTCAGACTTCAACGTTTATAAACAAAATGTATTTTTGAAATATTTCATCTTTTCAATGGTATAAGATTTAGTCACCAACAACAAGGGCAAGTGCCTTAAAAAATTAATTTTTTGTGAGCATATACCATGTTTTGCGATATATCAATATACCTGTATATAAAACTTCATGGGGGGGTACGTTCCCATCACTTGTACACCTTGAAAATAAGTTTTTCTAATAGTAAATTTTGTGAGCTTTTCATTGGTACAAGATTTAGTGACCAACAAAGTAGGCAAGTGACATAAAAAATTAATTTCCATGAACATATACGACGATTTACGATATATCAATATACTTTTGAATAAAACTTCATGGGGGGGTACGTTCCCATCATTTGTACCCCTTGAAATTAAGTTTTTCTAATAGCAAATTTTGTGGGCTTTTCAATAGTATAAGATTTAGTGACCAACAAAGTGGGCAAATGACCCTAATAGGAAATTGAAAGTAGAATTATTTTTTATTTTTTGCAATTCTTATAATATGTATACTCATTCTTACAATGTTATTGATAAGACAGAATAAAATATAAAATTATTACATAGGAAATGTAGACAAATCATTTTGACATTTTATACAACGTTAATATAGTTGTTTACACTTGACAATAGGATTGACATTTTGTATTTAATAATAATAATAATAGAGTAAAAAATAATGACTATTAATAAATTGATTTTTTCTCGGTAAAGAGTGATTTTTAAATGACAAATTATTTATTTATTACTGTGTTCGAGAGTAACAAATAGAATAAAATAAAATAGTATTGCCGAATAATTAATTAGTTTATTAAAAATAAAAGTAATAGTAATCGCACAATAGTTGTCAAATGACTAACGATGCTCTGAATTACAACAGTCGCAGTCGGCCCACTTTCCGGTTTTGCAACACCGAAAAATACCTTATAAACACATTCTTATAGGCCGACCTCAATTACAATTCAATTTATGATTATCTGTTATAATTGTGGAACAATAATAAAACTAAGTTAAGTATTCATAACACTCCCTCCCTTAAATGGAAGTAGTGTTTGAAATACTACTTACATATAATACTCTTAAATTACAATAAAATAATTAAATTAACAAGACTTCAGACCATACTTTCATTGCAATTTGTACATTGTGCGATATCTGGTTTATATTGTCGGGTGGTATTTTTATATTTACACAATGCATATGAAGTTAGAATTATTATTATTAGAAAGAGACAGTAAAGAAATGGGATATGAGTATTTAAGATGAAATGATCGGAAGACTCTGCTATTGTGGATTCAAGATTATTGAGATCTATTGAGTCATCTGCTAATTGATTCAAATCTTGAATGAAATTATTTTCTGTTAACGGTTCAGGCTGATATTTAGAAATTTTATTAGTTATATTAGAATTCATGTAAACTAAAGGATTCTCGGGAACAAAGTCTTGGGAGAAAACAGAAATAATGTTTTGAGATGGTAATAATACTGAAGTTTCGGTACTCACAGTACAAGACTTATCCACTGTTATTTTACCAATGGTATTAATAGAAAAGAGGTTCTGTACATTATTACATTTGAGTGTCATATGAGTTTCTGTAGGAGTCACATATAACCAAGAGTTTTGAGTTTCTAATTTATGATATATGGGAATGAACAATTTACGATACTTAAGATTACAATTGACAATTGGATAATTAGGTTTAAAATATAGATTTACGTCACAATTTTTTGTTTTGGAATGACGATATAGTGCTTTAGAGTACTTACACAATTTAAAATTACTTAAATCAAAACAATTTGAAAGTTGAAGGTCTGATAAAGAAAAATAATAATCATTATTTCTACTTAAAGCTAAATACTTAGATTCGGTTACAATAAAAATAAAATTTTGATTTCCTTGTGGTATAGGCAAGGATATGGGGTGAAATAAATTAAAATCTAAATTAGACAATAAAGGGATTTTTAAATTAAAAATCAAAGTATAATTAATATATAATGCATCAATAGTAGTTATCTTGAACAAATCAGTTAGACTTGTAGAATAGATAGAAACTGGGAGTTCAAGGGTTGATGGTAAACTAAGACGGATTTCTTTCAATTCATTAAGTAGGATATTAGGAGGTAGGATACTAGAATGTAATCGACCACTTAGAGCTGAGTTAACTATAGCAAGGAGGTTCTGAGTTTCCCAACTGTATTGGCTAAGTAGTAGAGTTATGGTGGCTGTATGTTCAGCTAGAGTAGAAATGAATTCTACTAAATTGATTTTATCAGCATTCATTTGACTTTGCGATAGTAGTTTCTGTATATTTCGGGACATATTTTGTTGTGTTTGATCTAGATGTAGTGAGGAATTGTATGTGTGATGAACTACGGATTTCATAATGTGTATTTGTTCTTTGGATAGTCGTAGAATTTTTTCTTTATTTTCCTGAAGTTCGCTGATTTTATTATAAAAATATTCAGCATCTTGATCGGAACATACACCGAATAAAACATTTGCTATTCTACCAACGAAATTTGCTAGACCTCTCTTTTGTCGGGAGTAAAGAGAACTGCTATTCCCCTTCAGATTTAACATAGATGAAAGAGTAATATGATTGAATTCTATTTCATTTAAATAAGGTAATGTAATTTGAACAAATTGGGTACAGACTGTAGCTATTTTTATATCTTTTGAATTTTCTGATGCGTCCCGACAGTGACGCACCGTTTGATTGTAATAACCTAAGATTAAAGAATGACGTTGCTGGTAGTTCTTTAAATCCAGGTAGGAAATAAGTTGCCAGGTACTCTGGGAGATTCTGAGGGGACCATAGGATTCGTAATACAGACCGGACGTTTGATTGAACTCAGTGATATTTATGAACGCTTTTAGGTTTTCTGCATAATATTGAGAGAAGTGAGTAACCATTCTGTAACAAACAATAATGATTATTTGTTAATTATTATTCATGAAAGAGTTTAGCCATGTTCTTGTGGAGTGTTTGACGTTTGCCATTTTTGTTAATAACTATATTTACTGAATCAGCGTTTGTGTCTAATATTTCAAAAGGACCTAACCATTTAGGAGCCAGTTTTCCTTTGTTAGCCTTTTCCTGAATTAAAACTTTATCACCAATATGAAGTGTGGGAAGGAATTGAGTTTGGTCATAGGAGGTTTTAGATTTCTGCTTCTTTTCTAATAATCTTTTTCTGGCAATATTATGAGTTTCTTGCATGTTTCTTTTTAATTCGAATTGATAGTCTGTATAATTATACTGTGGTTCCGGTTCTCGGGTAAATGATGTTGGGACTTGGGCTTCATAACCGTATAAAAGTTCGTAGGGCTGGTATCCCGTGGCAGAATGAGTTGTTGAGTTGTAAGTGAACATAGCAAATGGAACATAAGTGTCCCAGTTTCGCTGATCTTTATCTACGAAGTGTCGAAGATACTCACCTAAAGTCCGGTGACTTCTCTCGAGACTTCCATTGCTCTGCGGCCTATAGGGAGTTGTAGATGTTTTTTTTATTTTCAGTAGACGACATGTTTCTTTAAACACATCACTAAGAAATTCGGTGCCACAATCAGTAACGAGATTCTGAGGGATACCATGTAAGCATATGAATTTGGTTACAAAATGATAAGCAACAGTGTTTGCTTCATGATTCTCCATAGGGACAGCCCATAAAAAATTTGNCATAGGGACAGCCCATGAAAATTTTGTAAGATCATCTTGAAGAGTTAGGATGTAGGCATTGTTATGAGGTGTACGTGGAAGAGGACCGACTACATCCATAAAAACTTTCTCAAAGGGCTTTGAAGAGGTAGTAGTAATTACCATCGGTGCTTTCACATGACGATTTGTAGTTNTTTTACATGACGATTTGTAGTCTTGTTTTTCTGACATGATGTACATTTTTTTATAAACTCAGCCACGTCATGATTCATACCGATCCATGAGTGTTGTTTCTTTAATCTATTGATAGTTCGTGATATACCCTGATGACCACCTAAGGGATTTAGGTGAAATTCTTGAATGATATGAGATTTCTGTTCTGATGAGTATTCAACTAGAGAATAGAGAAGAATGTGAATGTTAGAGTCTCTGAAGATATAGTTTATGATAGATCGAACATTTAACCAATCTAGACCAGTATCTATTTTAGGTAAAGCTATTTTATCTAAATGATTTACATGACAAAATTCTCGGAGATTTTGTAGGGCAGTGAAAATAATTTCGTATTTTGGTTTCTGCCAAAACTTCTCTTTTATTATTACGTAGAGGATAAATCTATTTGATTGTTTGAGAAAAGCGATTTCAGTAACATTCTTGTTTTGTTACCGCAGACTAGATAATTGCCCAAAATGTCGACGAAAATCTAAAGCAATTCCTTTTGATAATTTGAGATCTTTAGATACAAAATTTGCCAAATGATAGTCTGAGGGTGCATTCCACACCTTTCCATGGGTTTCTACTATATTTTTAGGAAGATTAGAATAATGGCTGATATTGTTCAATACGTATTGACACGGAGATTCTGTGATGGTTTCATTAATATTGGAAAATGAAGATGATTTTGGATATTCTGGAGTTAGTAAATGTTCTGAATTTTCTGGAGTTAATGAGTGTTCGGAATATTCTGGATTTCGTATATGTTCTGGATTTTCTGAATTCATCGATTCGGTTACTGATTTACTTGTTGAACGAGTAGTTACCTGATGGATTCTACTCAAAGCATCAGCGTTGGTATTTTGTGATCCTTTTTTATAGTGCACTGTGTATTGATACTTTTCTAGTTTT